TGCTGAATGTCTGGTTATATGTTTGTATTAAAAAAAAATATTAAATGAAAAAATAATTTGCTAGTGCTCTAATGTAAATTAGATCGAACAATTAATCAGAAACAGCCATTCAGAAGCTGTTCTTCTGGAGAAGGCCAGCAAAGAATTAGCATGGAGCAGTGTGCTGGAATGAAAATGCTCAATTGAACACGTTCCACCACACAACCAAGGACACTTACAGGTTCCAAAGTTAAATATAACCAAATCAGTGGGTATACAGGTCAGCTGGTTTGTCTTTGAGGCTTGTTCAATGCCTCAGAGTTAGTATAACTATCTAAAAGCATTCTTAGAGATAAGGTAGCTGCACAGAGTCAGCTTGAGTGCCTGAAGACTCACTATGTCTGTAACAGCAGCAGACGCTTGCAGAAGGGATCCTGCCTTTCAGGTCAATATTTTCTTTTTAATGTCCTAGTCCTAGAGTTACTTAGTTACATTTGACTCTCATCTTTTATGTGTTTCAAGACTGTGTAGAAAAGGTTAGGAAGCCACAAGTTGGAAGCTGCTAGGCTCACACATTTATTTTTCTTAATTCCATCATCTTTAATTTTTAATTTTTTTTGGTGATTCTTTGTGAATCACTTTTTTATTTGATGGTAGCTACTCTCTTATTCTCTGAATGTTTGGAGTTATTAGTGCTTAAAGTACTCTCTGCTGGCACAGAGAGTATTACATACATACAGTATTTTTCAGGAGATGGTGGGACTGCTTTATCTGTTATATTGCACATAGCATCAGGAAGCAAAGCAATTAAAAATTTGGAGGCCTTTTGCAAAAGTCTTGGTGAATGTTCCTTGTACTGACAATCAAAGTACGTTTGGGGCAAGATTCCTTTGAAAAAGTTTGTTATACTCTCCTTAATATGAAATTCAAGGAGGCAAGTGGGCAGTAATGTCATATTGCAGTTAAAAATTAAAACCCACAGCCCAGAAGCTGAGAGGGAGAGTTGGAAATCACATCATCTGAAAAAAAAAGTTTCAATAGGACCATTAACGAACAGACTGAGGCTGCTGTACCAGGTGGGAAGGGAATTCCCTGGAGACAAAGGACATTTTTTTGGATCTCTAGGAGTTTTTTACTGATCTCACAATACATGTTTCCAAACTCTGTTATTCTGACAGGAGAACCTCATTCTAAATGGACAGAATGACTTGGAGGAAAATTTGAGGAGGAGGCTTCCCTACATAGGGAACCATCTGGTTCACAGTTGGAAGCTTCCTGCTCTACTCTCTCTTGTCTTTAGCTGCAATGACTGTTCTATATGTGTCCCAACACTGTACATCTCATAGCTGCTGTAAACTGAACAGAATATAGATGTGTGACACTTCTCTCAGGATTTTGATCTTTTGATCAAAATATTTATTTTAGAAGTACTATTTGAAAGAGTATATTAGATGGCATTCATTTAATGATTCTGCATTTTGGATTATTTTTTAACTGCATCGTACCACACTGTGTATTCCTGTGGATTATTTTCTCCTCTCTACATTCAAGAGATTTGCTTCAACAGACTCTTTAAGTCATAAAAGTAGCATCCTTACCCCTGTGAGCAGTCTTACTAAAGCTGGCAGCTGATTACTTACTGCTGAATGTAATGGATAAAAAAACCCCAGAAAGTACTTGTAAAAAACATTCCAATTGCTTCTGTGCAGCTCTTCAACATCTTAAATAGCCTTTGAATGTCTCCAAAAGCTGCGTGTGATTTCCTATTTTCTTGTCTGCTGCAGTTGTATGAATTTAAATTTTTTTAAAACTGCTGTGTGTAATGACAAGTGAATTATAACCAGTGAGTGAGGGGAGTCCACCACGACCTAGCCTTTTTTTCCAGCATAACAGATGCAAACCTTCGTTTGTGTGGTCAACAAATAGAGCTATTTGGATCTTTCACACTCCTTGCTCTCTCTGTTTAAATAAAATTGCATTGTGGCCAAGAAAATCAATAGTTTAAATACTTTACTTAGAAGCAATGTGGAGATGAAAAAGCAGCTTTATAATGGTCAGACACATTGAGGGTTCTGTGCTGGGTGCTCAGTGACTCCCAGAAAGAGCCATGGTGGTACCCCTAGAGCATCCAGGTACAGCAGGACAAGAATGATGTCTGCAAAGGCACAGCTTCAGAACAAGCTTTAGAAACCTTACAGTTCTGAGGATATTGCAGCTGGAATAGAATTCTTCCAAAGCAAAAACCCCAAACTTACTGGGGAGCTGAACAGAATGAGTAATTTAGTCACCAGATGTGGATATGAAAATGAGAAGGGACTGAAGTGTTTGCTGACAGCTGATAGCCGTGGTTTGAAGACTTTAGAAGACTTCTTTCTTGTGTTCTATTTTTTTTGCACCATCTGAGCAGCTGTAAGTGATGGATTTCTGTTTTCACTTACAAAATCATCCATCCTAGCTCACAGTTAGGGGTTCAGACACCAGATACCCTCTAGATTTGTTCAAGTATTGTTCAGAAGAGTTGACTGAACCTGTAACTGACTCCACTTCCTTCATGAACAGTTACTGCCCTTACATTTTGCATAATGACTTCTCTATGGATCACTTGCTGCAGTTCCACTAGACTTTAATAAATTCAATCTAGAAAAAGCGGAATCATTGTAAATACTTCTCAGGGTCAGTTTACTGAGTAAAAGTGAATTTCTGACCTCAGTTTCTGAATTTGAAGAGGGGAAATCAGTTTCAGTGAACCCAGAACTTGGTTGGGGGTTATTGGTTTATTTTTTAAAAAATCTATATACACCATAAATTAAAAACCCCTTGTACTCACAGAACACTGTTTCATTTTTCCTGTGGAAAGCTGCTTTGCCTTGGTTTTTGTTTTTTGTTTTTGGTTGGCTTTTTTGTTTTTTTTTGTTTTGGTTTTCTTGTTTTATTTTGATTTAGTTTTTTTTAGTCTTGCTTTAGTCTTTTATCTAAACTTTTCCACTTCTTGTTTTGATGAGTCTTGTGGAGTTTGTAGTGGTTGTCCAAGAACACAAGGATTGCTTGGCATCTGTCCAGCAGGGATCATGTTGATGAACACTGTGCTTATGTCTGCTATAGGTTATGTTCTGGTAAGTTTTGCAGCTTGCCAGAAGGAGGGAGAGAATTAATGCCAGGGATGTACATTTTCCACTGAGCTCCATAAATGTGCTGAGCATGAGGATGCTCATCTTGTGTAGCTTCAGCTCAGCACCACAGGAACACCTCTAATGACCCTTAGAATGGAGCCTTTGTGTTTTCTAGTGGCTGAAATTTAACCAGTTGTTCAGGCAATTCATTCATGTACAGCCAGGCTGGTACATGGTAGGCTTGTAAGACTGGCTGCCTGTGAAATGAAATTACAATAAACCTCAGATTATTACAGTTTAATATTTTTTTTTTCCCCCCATTCATTGCTTCTGGCCTACATTTGGCTGGTAGGATATGAGAAACTATCAAATTTTATTTTATTTATCCCTAATTGTATGCTGATCGTATTAATATCACAATAAGTGCAAAAGGGGGTTTTGGGTTATACTTTTTAAAAAATGATCTGAATGGAAATTCTGCCTGGAACTACTGGAATATTATCTAAGAGTACAAAAGTAGGATGAAAATTTTCATGAATTTGTGGTTTGGTTAAAATGGGATAAAATAGGACTGTGTTGTCTGATGTTAAAGCTGTGTGAGGCAAAAATGCATTTTAAAGTAACTTGCAAAAATAATGTTAAGAAAACAGTAGAAGTACATCATAAATTCAGTGCATAACATTCCTTCTAATTTGAATGTTGTATGAAAATGAATGGATCTCTACCAATTTGTTAGAATGGTTCCTGGAAAAACAGAATTAGATCATTTATGACCAAATAAACATCTTTGATAGCAGATGAACAGTATTAACATAGAATTATAGAGTAATATAATTAACTGTATTTTTTGCTGTGTTTGTAAGTGGCCTGTATACATTTGTAAGTCAAATTTGTTTGGGGTTTTTCTGCAGTTAATATGTTAAGTGCAGAATTTAGCTGATGCAGTAAATGGACAAGCTGTTCAGTCTCACTGTGTGTATTTCAATGGGGCTAGAGGCAATTCAGAGATCTATTCTCAGCTAACTTCCAGAATTCAGTGGCAGCTCTTGAAAAGTGACTTAGCAGTCCAGTCTCATTCCTACAGATCACCATTACAGCCCCCTTAAATCTTCCTCTGATAGAACTGAGAATAGAAGATGCAGCTGAATCATTAAAAAGTCATAAAATACCTAGGGAGGTGTTTATATATATATATAAACTAGCTTTTAATAAGTAAAATCTTGTTAGAGTCCATCAAGAAAGCTGAAATAATACGCATGTTTTTCCAGTAAAACGTTCATATAACTTCTAAGAAGTATTACTGAAAGTGTATTTATGTTGGCTTGCAATTACACTTGAAATGTTGATGTAGCTGCAGCTTGTGCTACATGCAAACCATGAAACATCCTCTGTGTGTGTTGTTCAAGGGGCAATTTAGAAAACTGCTAGTTGAGTATCAGCATGTTGCTGCAAGCTCCATGGGGTGTGGACTGCTCCCAGAACAGGGCAGGACAGTGACTGAGGATGCTTCAGAAATCCACAGGAGGCAGCAGCCTCTGGTCATCAGAAGTGACCAACCAGATCCAGAGTTAGTGTTCCTACTCTAATACTTCCAAGGGCCTTTCAGACTTCCCTCTCTTGCAGTACTTCATGGTTTTCTTTGCCATATACACTTCCCCTCAGGAAATTGCCATGAACAATACAGCTGATTTCTTCTTTGTGTGCACATATACAAATAGACCAATGAAGGGAAGCAGGTTCCATGTCTTAGATCTGTATCTATATCCATATCTGTACCTAGATACAGCAATGTGCAATTTCAAGATATTTCAGTGTAAAACTTACAATTTCAGCCCCCAATGAAGTTAAGAGTTTTCCTGCCTGAATTTCTTACCTTCTGTTGAGTTGTACCTTTGATCTATGGTTTCAGGAAGGAAAGGATCTCCCTGAGTCAGCACTTGCAATTTTCTCCTAATGAGTGGAGTATGTTATTTACCCTTTTATAACTGGAAAAGACTTTGTTTCCCTGAACCTTGACTTCATGCTGGCTTTCCTGGAGGAGCTGAACCATGCCTCATTCTCTGTTATTCACAGCAGTGAGACCCTCTTACTTCCATTTGACATAAACAAAGGTAAATTCAATTTGTGCATAAGTACCAGGCCTTGATTATGGCAAAGTCGTCCAGGACGTGTGGGAGTTTGGAGGCACAAGTGACTCTGCCATATGATGGATAATATGCTTTTTTTAGCAGTAATGATTAATGCTTCTTGAAAGTGATTTAACATGACTTGAAACTTTGTATAGGTATCAAAGTTGTATGGAAATTATGAAAGCATAAGTAAAATGACACACAACATTAAGTAATAAGATGATATTTGTTTTGGCTCATTCAGGTACTGTTAAGAATCTCCAAATAGTTTTTGAAAACATGTTCATTTGCTGAATGCTCTGAGGGAGCAAAACTTGAAAGAAACCAAGCCACTTGAAATGTGTCAGGCACAAATGACTGATATCTCTGTCTTCTAAAATTATTTGACTTCATTTGACTTTCTGAAATGGGGCTTTTGCAGCAGTGTCTTACATAAGAGATGATTAATAGGATGAGGAAAATAAGGAGCTGACAAAAAAAATCAAAAATAATCTCTTTCCCTTGTGTTATTACAGGGTTAAAAAATTCTGAGACATCTTACAACTGTTAGAAACCATTTCAAAGAAAGCTTTTTGCCCTGAATACAGCTTCTTGAAAAGTAAGCATAAAAAGACATTGCCATTTTAGCAGCATCTTTTGAACAGTAAGTCTCTCTTCTTGTACTTTAAACCCTCAGAATCACTTTCCCTTATAGTCTGGGAATTCTCTGTCTTTGAGGGAAGGATGAATCTGTGCTTTTTTGATGTATTTCATGTTTAAGGATATTAACATATATTCAGGATAATGAAAACCATTTCAAATGCATAGAGCATCTTTGTTATTATGAAAGGCTGATGTTAGCTTCTTGCTGAGGTCCACAAAACCAGAGCTCTTGAATTTAGCAGAGCTCAGAGATGTGCTTCTGGACTCACATTGAGTTAAGAAGGTTCTTCCTTGCCATGTTGGGCTGTAGCATTTTTGGTATTTTTTTGTTTTTTGGAGGGATGGGCTTTCCTTAGACATAATGCTTATTTATTTTCTTTTGCTACACAGGGACTCAATCTGTGGTATAAATTGTAAAGTTCTGAGGTAAGGTCCTGTGCTACCTACATATTTATTTATTTATTTTCAACTCCTGGAGTTTGCATTTTTCTTTCTCCCTGTCCTGTTAGAGTTACATAAAGAGCTTGGTGGTTAAATCTCTGAATATAGCTTCAATTATAGCTTTTCAGATAGCTGAAAAAAATCCATGGTATACCATTGCTATGAAATCACTCTGGTAAGTGACATACCTGGAAATCTTCTCCTTCTGTGATAAGGACCTCTTGTTTCAGTGAAGTTTCAATAGAATTTCCACCTTCTTCTTATCTTTCCAACCTTTAAACCTTTTTTTAATTAAATTTTAGAACCAAGTAGAATATACTTTCTTTGTGGAAATACTAAAATATTTTTTCCTTTTTAAGGCATCTCTGATTGTGACTACAGATTTCTTCCCAGTGTTCTGGTACACCAAAACATTCACATTTTTTTCAGAACATCAAGTGACGTCTCTAAGAAATGGTGCTTTATAAAAAATGTTACTTCAGTCAAAGTGTGTTTTTATGGAAAATTTTCAAGTCCAACAATGCATCATCTCAAGCATGTCACTGACTGCAGTTTGGATTTGAGGGGAAAGAGCTCACCCAAACTTTGAGGCAGCTTATTGTATTCCTTCCATGTTTCCTGAGGACTGAATACATTTGACAACTGTTTATCCTCATTAATTTAATCAAAAACTTCTTCCTAGGAAATTACCAGGGTAAAAACACTGACAAAAGCAACTAAGGCAAAAGTCTATTAGCTTTGTTTCTTCAGGGAAACATTTCATACACAGAAATTATGTTCTCAAGACTGAGGAAAAATCATTATAAGAAGAATGTCATTATTACTGAAAAGAATATAATGGCTGTGTGTAAGATGGAGAAGGATGGGATCACTCATTTGAAGCCTCTCAATGCACTGGTGACTTTACCATTTCAGCAAAATGCCAAAAAAGATGCATGATCTGAGCCCTGGTGTCTTCATTATTGCAGTGCATTATCCTGGCGTATTCTCTACTAAATGCCATTGAGCAGAGCCAACATTTTGGAGTAGAATTCTTCCTCAATTCTTCTTTTTATTTTAACATTTTCTTACTACTTGGTTCATTCTTCCTCACCCTGATCTTGCTTTGAAGTTCTTGTTTTTAGACCTCATATTTTGCTTTACTGTTTCTTTATAGCCTTGTTAGCATTAGTTAAGCAATGCTCATTGCCATTTAAGCAACTCGGGGAAAACTTTAGGACTTGCATCTGATCATCAGATTGTCTTAAAAGTGAAAATTCAGTACCATTCAGGCCTTATTTCATTACTCTTAGGGAGTTTGCCTTGCTGTTAGAGGTAAAAATAAAATGATTTATGATGACAAATCAGGTGTGCATCATTCTCCTAGTTTGCAAAAGGGGCTACATATACATTATGTAAGTCAAAGAAGTGTGAAGAATATTAATAACTCTGCCAATCAATGTTTCATTTTAAGCCATGTGTTACCTCTAATCTTAAAGCAGAGTAGTAATCCCCAGTTTTAAAATACTATTGCTCACCAATCCATTCCAAAGTGTCTTTCACTGTATTATTCCTATTTTTTAAATCAGGAGAAACTGAAGCAAAAGTAATACTAACAGAGCCCAATTCAGCTTCCTCCCTGATGCCATTAGACTTTGCTTGTGAGTATAGCTCTTTGTTTAAAAGTGTCTTTATTAAGACAGTCATCTTCTCTTGGACTCACACCACAGTCATGGTCATCTCTCATTCTGTCATTTCTGACTGCAGAGATGTGGGATAAGTGGCTTTTTATTCACTACCACAGATGAGCCACGGGGCTCATGAATATATGCAGGGGGCCTTATTCTACTCTGAAAGCAACTTTAGCCTGAAATAATTCCAGAAGCCTTTCTGGCCTTGAATTGTGCAGGATTCTATGAAGAAAGGCTGGTGTTGTTAAGGAGATGAATAAACCTCTGTGGGAGCAAAGAAGACATTGACATCTTACACAAGTGTGCAGTGATGCTGATGGCAGCTGTGACATGTGCCAGCTCTACGGGGTTTGGCACCAAAGAAAGGACCTTTTTTAAGGTGAAGGTAAATTATACCTCTTAAGAAGAGCTGAGGCTGGGATGCACTCTTACAGGGAATAATAGCTAGGTTAATTATCTCAGATTTAATATTCTAATCACCAGCCTACAGTTTCAGCCCCCAAAGAGATGCAAGTTCATCCTGCCTCTGGAACTGGCCTTATGCATCTGTAATGGTTTGGCGCCCAGTCCAGCTCAGGTGTGTGTGGCTGGTACAGGGAACACAAGTAGTTGTAGTATGTTACATAAACACACTCACAATTTTGATTTCTCTCAGCTCACTGTACACTGTAAATGCCATGAATATTTCCATGGAGAGATCTGGAGCACTGTAGTCAGGCTATCATGATAATTTGGGGTGTAACATTTTTTGTGTATTAGCCCCTTGTCAAAGAAAGGGGGTAGTGCCTTAGACATCCCTTCTGTGTTTTACCAAGCTCTCATAGAAGTCCTTTAGTTTTGTCCAAACCTATCAGGTTGTCTTGTGGGAGAGGGAGAGGGTTTTTGCACTGTGGGGATGTGATTAGTACAAGTACTTCTTCTTCTTTTAATGGGACAAGAAGTAGCAGGTGTCCCATCTGGCTCAAACCAAGGTCTTTGCACAGCACACTGACATCCACATGTTGATTTCCTCAGATTCGTGTACAGCCTCCAGGCAAAAATAGCATTTCTCAATGGTCCTATGTGCTCTGAAAGGTTATGTCTAGAATGGTTATTATTTATTTCTGTTTTCTTTCCAGCTTCTAACACCATGGTGTTTCTGCATGTCTTGATTCCCAAAGTGTAACTGTTGAATACGTGCTCAAGTAAATGTACCCAAGTTGCCAAGCATTCATTTCATAAGTAATATTCAAGTGTTCTATGAATGTTGATAAAAAAAAAAACCAATGCCACAGCTGTGGATGAGATCTTTTCCTGATGTAAACTGATGTCACTCAGAAAACATATAATTCAGAATATTTCTGCAGGGGTTCAACATGGGGTGAACTTAATAGCTAGAGGTTGAGAGACACAATTACATGGAACCACTAGACACTTTTGTAAAGGCACTTTTAAAACACTCTCCAGTTGAATTTGAAGGATGTTTGTGGCAAATCTTTTGAAAGGGTCATTGACTGTACAAGGATGAAAGTTGTGGGCAATCAAGTTCTGTAATTTGTTTCTGCCTACTGAAGAAAAAGGTTCTGTTTCTACAGAAGTTTTTGACTTCTCATCGTTTTGATTTTTATTTAACATACAAACTTTAAAGGAATCATTTTATTTTGGAAGCAAAACACATAAAAACATGACAGAAGACTATTTGGAATAAAATTAATTACCAAGAATGCACAGAGTCTAAGAATTTCTGCTTGTGAAGTACATGACACTGTTTAGAGCCTGAGCTTCAGTGTTCATCATAAACTGATGATTTTACTTTACTGTATTTGATAGAAGATTTACAAATTTAGAATAGACATTCACAGGTGATGAGAAAGAACATGTTCTCTCAGATTATTTGGCTGAAAATTGGGTTAAAAAACAAGTCTGGGGTGGAGGAGGAGCAAATAACTTATTTAGCAAGTTGTTGCCAAGCTGTGACCTACACAGCTGTTTGTTTGAGAACTTTTGCCCATACTCTAATTTCAGAGATGATAAATGTGAAGCAATTAGCACTGATTCATGCTTGTAAGTGCTATTTGAGAGTTCAGTTGAGGAACTGTGTCTTTGTATGATTTTGTGTAAGTGGTGCTTCAGCATATTTAATAAGGTCAGTTATAATACATGTTTGAAAACTGCATAAATGCAATCAGGAAAACATTTCTGATTGCATGAATAATAGTTGTTGCATATGCTTAAAATGCAGTAAATTATAATGGGATATAAATTGAGCTCTAGAGACATTTTTACAGTAATAAACTTAAAATCTCATGTATTTTGACTAAGTGTTCTGATTAAGCAGGCATTTGAAGAGAGTGAGGGAATACCCTGTTGCTGAAATAAAGGCAGTTGCAGATGTCGTAGAACCGATTTCTAACCTGAGCTGATGAAATGGACTAGGATGGATGGGTTTTGTGCAGCTAAACTGTGGGTTGTGCTTAGGTAAACTAATTTATGAAGAGGTTTTAAATCAATGTACAAAAGGGCTGGCAGTTAAATATTTTTTAACTTAAGGCCTTAAAGTTATTTGGCCGACCCTTTTGCTCCAATACCTATGCCTTTCCCAGCAAATATTTGTCGAGTCTGTTAAAACACTGAATATTCCTACTGTCTGTTGTTCCACAGCTTGCACATGAGCTTTGTTCCTCTTGACTTAAATAAGATTTTCTAGTCTCTAGTCAGAATATTTCTGCTAAAATTTGATGTGATTGTTTCTTGCCCTATTTACAAGAATATCAAGAATAGATACTTCCCTCTGCATTAATCTTTTGGGGACTGTTTATTATCTTACCTGCAGGCTGCATGTGTACAGGTTGAGAGGGCACAGTATCCAATTTTCTCCATTTCCAAAGTCACTGTGCATTTCTCTCACTGCTGTTCCTTTAGTGGCTGTTTCTATGATATTGTTGTATTCCCCAGCTTTCCCTCCCAGGGCAATTTCAAAGGGCCCAGTGGACACTGAAGAACTCAGTGTCCATGAACAAGTTAGTATTTCTGGTTTCTGGTTCACTTAAATTTCCTTCCATTTAAAACTGCCTGTTAATTGTGTTTCCCATATCCTTTTGATGTGCAGAATAAATGGGAAATTTATGTAAAAAGTGTTTCTAGATGTCCTGCTGCATTAAAAAAAATCAAAAGAAAAGACAGTACTGAAGTTTCTTGAGTCTCAATGAATTTTGGGGGAAAAAAGTCTGTAGGACTTGAAGGACCAGTGTGTTACTGGAGAAGAATGTAGGGATGAGGATGATGAATAGATGGATGAGAGTTTAAGGAACTCTGGAGAACAATTGGCTTTGTTCTTAGCCTCTAAAGAGAGGAAAATTGCATTGACTGAGACTGAAACTCCCTTGGGTTTCTCATTCAATTCCACCCTTGTGCTCCCTGGGCCAATAAACAGATAAAGAGGAACTAATAAAAAAAAAAAATCAGGTTAAAGAGAGAATCTGTAGCTGCTAATGCAGTTGCAGTTAAATCCTTTCCTTGCATCTGATTGCTTTCAAATAAAATCATTCACTCTGAGGATGTTGAAAAGACCAATGTTTCTGCTTTTTAATTGTTGACTGCTGAAGTCATTGACCTTTGGCTGTGCTGAGGCGAGGGGACTGTGAAAAAAAATGCAGATTGGAAGTAAATCTGCCTTCATTTTGAGGTGTGTTCCCTTCCTCAGTGCAGGAAGAAACTGCCAGCAGGTTTCTCAGACCCACTCAGGTGGCTCCAGGTCTCTTTACAACCACCAGAGGTTACAAATGGTGTTGGCAGCTCTTCAGGTGCTGGTTCTCTTCCTAAAGGCTTCCTTTGCCCTCTGTTAGGAGAACTGTACCTTCCCTTCCCTCTCTGTAAAACATGAGGAGATCTGAGTTAATTTCTGGTTGTTTGCATTTACCCAATTATGACTCTGACCCACTTTCTGCTTTTTCCTGAGTTAAAAATATACATTGTCTTAAGAAAAAAACCACTTCCTTTCTTGCAAACAGGTAGTTGTACAGTTGTGCACATATATATAAGGACAAATAAAGCTTTGTATTTTGCTATTGTCTTTAAATTTTTGCATTAAATTGCATGCCTACAAACCTTTGCTTAGCTTTCTGTATTTTCCCATGTTATGGTATCATGGCAAAGCAAAATGTAACAGAAGAAAGTTAATTAACATGGAAACCTTTAAGTTGGAATGAGTTTTGAGTCAGGCTTCTAAGTGTTGCACTGTGTGTTTTGTACACCAGTTCCTGGGGTGCATGCAGCACACTTCATTCTGCGTACAGCTTAAATGTTATGAGGTCTGGCAGTTCTTTATTTCACTGCTGATGAGATGACCTATGAGCAGTGTAGCATGTCACCCTTGCATTGGAGAAGAATTGGCACTGCCTGTGGAGTTGGATTCAATTGTTGGGATGTATGAACGTCTGCTTCCAAATGCTTGACAGAGATTAATAAAGTGCAGAGTTTCTTAAAGAGAATCAATGACAAGATGGCAGATGCTATTTTCTTTGTCTGGTTTTTTTTCTTGGGGGTAGTGTGGGGGAAGTTGCATTTTCAAAGTACAAAGCATTATAAAGGCTTGGGAACAGCTGACATGGGATTCTGAGAATTGGGTTCATCCTGTGAGCCTACTGTTATGTATAAGTTGCACTTGCTAAACAGTTGGAAGGTGTTTAGATTGTTTTTTTTTTTAATTTCCCATTAATATTTCAATGCAGGTTTGGGTGTGATGTTACTTTTGGGAAGGTTTGTTCTTGTGCAAATGTGTCCTCAGATTGAAAACCCTATCAGGAAGAAATGAGAGACCCAGCACCTTCAACAAAATAGTCCTCAAAGCCCCTCTGAAAACCCAACTTGCTTTTCAAACTCTGTTCCAGCTGTTATACATTTTTAAACCTACAAGACAGTCATGCTATTCAGTGCATTTATAGAATAAAAAGAAAATCCC